CTCTCTCTCTCTCTCTCTCTCTTTCTCAATCTTTCCGCTCTATGTCCCTCTCTCTCTATCTCTATGTTTACTTACATACCTGTCACACCATCGTTGCAGGAGCGTTCCGTCTTTAGGAGGATACTGATGAAATCTGCCTTCAAGAAACGGAAAATGTACGAGTCGCTCATAGAGGGCGTGCCCATGCTGCAGACACTCGAGGTAGGTGGCGTTCCAGTCGGTGCTCCACAGCACATGCGTCATCGCCCGGTGCTGCCGTCTATTGACACAGATAGACAGATGCCGCGTCTATAGATATTATCATATTATAATTTACAGAATCAGAATCAGAATCGATTAATCGATTATCAGTTTCTCTATATCGAGTTGTGATTGAAAATTGAAGATTGAAGATTGAAGATGTTGTAGACGGTTCTGTCTCTTTCTCGCATGCGCTCTCTCTTTCTTTCTCGCTCTGTCTCTCTCTCTCTCNTGGTATCATACCACTTCATTTAATGAAGCTGTGGAATGATGATAGATTTGTTGTTTCTTAATGCTTAATGACAGTGCTGGTTGTAGATGATTCATCAACCCGTGAAGTGATCACTGATTTTAGTAGTAAGTAAGTGAACCCACACCGCCTCAGCATTACTGCATATGTTGAGTGAACATTATGCTTATATTTGCACGAGGATGCGAGCAAGAGCGTTCAGCAGCGTTGTCATGAGCAGTGCGCAACATATGTGGCAACAATTGAACAACAATTGACACAGCTCCACAATATGCCGACCTCTCCGGTACGTGGAGATAAAGACGTTCGGTGTTTACGATTGCATCATGGTTTCTATGTAATTCTAGCAACATTAGTTCTAACCTCATCTCAATTATTTCTGTCTTCGATCACACGTGATTAGTTATTTTGATATGCTAGGTATATGCTGACTAAATAATGTTTGTGTATGCTTATGGTCCATCGTCAGGGCACGGACACACAGAAAGGTGGTACAGACTTTGCTCAAAGGTCAATGCTGAGTTGGAGTCATTGTCGTGGCGTAATAGCAACGCTAATATTAGAGGACAATCAGTGATGCATGGAGCAAAAGGTGGGAAGAATGACCAGGCAAATGCATGCTTTGCAGCCGATTGCTTCTGTTAAGGCGCTATTCATTTACTTATATTGTTAACGATATCCAGATTCCATCCTTGTTAGGTACAGAAGTGTATACTGAAGTGGTAGCACATTACAAAACCGTTATGATCCGATTTTAAATGTGCTGAGGAAAGCAAGATATGTTAATATTCTTATCACGTGCGCAGTTGATAATTGTAGTTGTTATGATTAACTATACAAATATTGCGCTTATTTATTTTATTTTTACAGTTTGATTAAACCATTAATGGATATTGATGTGTTATGAATTTAATAATTAATGGTAATATTACATTTTTATATTTTTTTACAGCTTTTGATGAAAACCATTAGTGATACTGTCCACGTTGCGCAAGGGTATATGCTTAGTGAGATTAAACATTTATTGGCGAATGAATCGAATTAAATCAGTGTTGTTATTATAGAGGAAGATATATCTCTTGCTCAGCCCAAAAATTTCATGAAAATTTCAGACCTATTATGTTATACACAATTTTGAATTTTTATGTAATGGTATTTTGGTATTTTCTAACTACCAGAAGGAGTGGAGGATCATATTTTTGCACATGTTTAAGCACAATATGGACACAAATAGCATCAGGATTTTTCTTTATTTACATGATTTAGCTGAGCAAACTCGAAAAAAACTGCTTAAAAATCAAGTTATGTGTAAAATTAGAAATTTAGCGAATAAGAGACATACTATAAGTAAGGCACTTAATAACATCACTGTGGCTTTTTTAACAATGTTACATTAAAACGAGTGTAAATTAAATTAATCGAGTTGGTACAGAGAAATATCTTATATACATCGGACTATGTCAGAATCGAAACAGAGATCAGCGTTTTTATAGTTTTTTCACAATGAGTGACGCTGTGTGCAGACACAGCGTATACGCTGTAAAGCTGACACGACTAGTATTTGGCGAATGGTGTGTCACAAGGGTGGCTCTAGTGTAAGGGCGTGATTAGAACGAGAACGAAAATCGCTAATTTCATGCGGGCACGTGGACAGTTCCTTAATGAACAGAACAGACGTACAAACAGGATATGCGTTCAATCGCACGTGTTTATTCTTTGCTATTCAAATTTGCATTCTAAACATTTAATGGGATAATATTCATTTATGTCGGTATATAGATCTATTGTAGGTATTGAAGCCGATTTTATTTGTGTGTGAATTTATAAGCATTATTTATTGTAGGCGTTAAGGTGGTGAGGAGTTGGCAGAAGCAGTCGAGCAAACACGAATTTCTTCACGGTGACGCTGCCGACTATTCTCGGCAGTGATATGCGCGGAAGTGCAGTTCTCTGAAATATTATTGATCAGCACTGATAGACGCAGCCAAGGGATGTGGCGAAAAATCGAATGGGTACGTTTAGGTGTTGGAATTTAATGAATCTGTTGTGAGTATGGATTGGAAATATAATGTGAATGTATGCGTATGGAATGCGATATGGCGATGGAACTGAAAATACGATTTTTAATCTGTCATTTGAAGTGCATTTTTTGCATACACCAATCATAGTGTGGTATTTTAATTTTCATAAATTTCACTTTGGTCAACATCGTCAGATGAAGAGTGCAGAGCAGATTGCTGAGACAAAGAGCTCGGAAGGCCAGGAATGTGTGAGCGCTCTGGAGCATGATAGCACTCAGCGATGGACAGACATGAATGCATCGTTGACTTCCAGCGTAGATGCACTGAAGAAGGATCTCAATGCTCAAACCAACAAGCTCAATGAATGCAGCGAGGTAACGTGAATGCTCATTGAAGTCTATATTTATTTTTTATTTTTTAATATATATTTTTACATCTATATCTATATTTATATTCAGTGTCTATATAATTGACGAGATTGGATTGTAAATGTGTTTTGCACTCCCACATTTTTTCTTTTCAAATTCCCTCAGTTCATATCCCTACTGTTTGTAATCATGTTTGTGTGATGGCATTCAACTTGGCTTTTGAGCAGTTTTACTGTTATTGCTGTACGACTACTCTTATCTACGTGTTTTTCCCTCCGCCAGGCATCTGTGAAAGAATTCGCACGCGACAAACAACGTCTGGAAGGGGCACTCACGCAGCACCTGTCCGAACACTGCCAGCAGGTGGCAGCACAGATGCAGAACGAAGTGTCCCTGCAGGTGGCGCTGCTCGATCAGACTGAGAGCAATGTTCAGCAGGAGCTGGAGATGAGGAAGAAGCAGCTAGACACCTTCCTTGCTGACGAGCTCAAGGTGGATATCCCAACAGGTGGGCTGCGTCATGCTATTTAAGAGTTGTGGGTGTGTGTGTGTGTGTTTGTGCACGTGTGTATGTGTGCGTGTGTGTGAGAGAGAGACTGTGTGCGTGTGTGTGGATGTGTGTATGCGTGTGTGTGTGTGCGTGTGCGTGTGCGTTTGCGTGCGCGTGCGTGCGTCACAAGTGTGCATACAGGCATGTACCTGTCTGCGTGCCTCCATGTGTGTAATGTGTATGTGTGTGTAGATACAGCCATACGTTATGTGTATTACAACGTTCGCCTCTCTGTGAGTACTAACATCTGTCGCTTCGTCTGCGCGCGCTGCAGGCACAACTCCGCAGCAACGTGACTTCGCGTACCCGCGCGCGTCTATTTTTTCCGTACCACAAATGCGCGAAGGGTTCCTCTGATTGGCTGCTTTGATTTGCTCTGACGGAACAAGGGTGTTGCTATCCCCCGGGCGCGTCTATTTTTTCCGTACCACAAATGCGCGAAGGGTTCCTCTGATTGGCTGCTTTGATTTGCTCTGACGGAACAAGGGTGTTGCTATCGTGGAGGTGACCGCAACGTGGCAGCACTAGTGTTAGGATAGTGTTAGGATTAGGGTTAGGGT